AAACGCGCGGTTCGGAAGTATCAACGAGCCGTCCGTGAGCTGCGAAATGAGAGGCAACGGCAACGCAATCGCCTCGTGCGGGAGAACCTGGAACGATATAAGAATGAACAACCAGTGATCGACAGCGAACGACAGCTTTCCGGGAAAGTGGTTGATGAGGAGGTGATCGGGGCCTTGCAGCGATCGGGATATATGACACCGCAGCACATGATGCTGCTCGACACCGTCCTGACTCTGCCAGGCACCACTATCGAAGCGGAGTATCAGCGTCGGATTGCAGCAATCAATGCGGTAATCACATTCTGTGATGTGATGGAAGGCCCCCCAACACGGCCTGGCCCGTCCCGAAAGCATTCCGCAACTGATGCCGTCGCACCCCATGCAAAGAGGCAAGAGTGCCCACAGGAGGACGAGGATACAATCGCTCTCCGCCAGGCAATTGCATCAGTCCGGGTTGGCTCACTTCGCCAAAGACCGAAGATTTGCTTCCTCTGCGTTGGAGACACCAGACTCCCAGTGACGGAGCGGACACGGGTATATAATACTCCGGGATCTCTGAGCAGACATCTTCGTCGGAAGCATCTGAATTCTCATTGGCCAGAATGCAAAACGATCAAATGCAATATTTGCGGTGTCCAACTCAAAAGCAAGATGCATCTGATGAATCATGCGGAATCCGTGCACGGAACGGTGACGCGAGTGCCTCTGTAGTTCCCCTCTTCCCTTTTATTGCGTCTACGTGCTTAAATGCAGTTGTCTGTCAAGGCTCATGGCTGGGCCGGTTGACTCTCATTGCCCTGCTAGATGTGATGGATTGTTGATTGCACTGCACTGGCAGGGCAGGGATCTGGGATAGTACTATTTGCATGTTTTCTTAGTGCATAAAGCCGATTTTGTTGTCTCGATGGTGCTTTTATGTATTCGCTTAGAGGTATTATGGCTTAAGTAAGGAACAGCCTCGCCGAGATTCTCGACGAGACTGCGTGACAAGCTTGCTTGGCGTCTTGGCGTCCCTAGCGTTCCCAGACGCTGAATAATGCTGAAAGCAGTTAGTCTATCACGTGACAATAGACCGG